GTCTCACAATTTCCCGTGGAAGAAATTAGTACTAACAATTTTTGGATAGTTTATGATGTTTCCTACCAGCAACCTGGTACTTACGTGTGACAATGTAGACAGGTCTGAATGAACAATTAAACTCTTCAATGAAGCGTTAATTTTCAGGTGGTTCATTATATCTCAGAATTTCTAGTACAGATTTCTAGCGTGACACTGAACACAATAAATGCTCAGGTTCACCGATGGCATAATTTTATCAGCTAAAACCTGAGACTCATTGAAAATCCGGGACAGATTTCTCCATCAGAAATTGTAGGAAGTAAACAATGAATGGAATCTTGGTCTAGATCACCAGAGGGCACTCGCTTGTCTACAAAATATGTGTGCCACCGCGGTTAAGTAATATTTAGGCCGTTGTTAGGAATCACATGCCTCCGAGCATGGATGCTATTCCAAGTATAGTGTAAAACGTTTTGTTACTCCAGCCGAATGAACTTTGACGTTCGCTGATATGTCAGCGGACAGGTAACTTCAAGGCTAGGACAGGTTCCAAGACAATTGCACTCATTAAATAAGTGTTTGTGCATTTGGTAAGATTTACATAGTAAATTCCCTCTTTCGCTCTTTCAAGGTTAACAGTAGATATTTGGTGGTATGTATAACAGCATCTTCATTTTGCCGTCCATAATTTCTGAAATAACAGCTCCTCTTAGCATGAGAAGTCGCCAATTTTATTCCAGACCATTTTAATAAATACAAATAATATTAATAAATAATAATAAATTTTTTTGTCACCGCATGACAGTGATCGCTGTAACAAGTACACTTTGATGGCAAAAGTGTCTTGCTTCATGCAATTAATGTTTTTTCTCTAATGATCTCAACTCATAGTATGCGGGTACATTATGACAAATAATCAAAATTGTGAGTATTTTCCTTTATTAATCAATCTATCGAATTTGCGCATCCAGAGTTTGACCTAAACAACTGAGTGCAGAACAGTGAAACTAGATGTGTATATTCGAAAACCTGCATAAACCGGTTGCATTTTACACAATATTTGCATTGCAAACAGACGGAGGCGATGAAACTACTTTTGACATTAAAACTCAAGGTGTGACGATTAAACAAATGATCCGACGTCAAATTTTTATGCCTCGAGGCTCGCAAAATATTTGATAAGGTAGACATCTAGCGCCAAAGAGATTGACTATTTTGACAAAATACGAATCTAGAACTTATAATCTGTTGGAATATTGTGACACATTGCCAAACTTGTGAGTAGTTTCCTTTAGGAATCTATACTGCGATACCTCGAATGTCGCACCAGCTGAAACATGAGGCGGCCTGTGAGCAGCACATTCACCTGTGGAGTATTATAAACGGGAAATTCAGTTTAGTCTCTTGTGAAAACAGGTGCAAAAAGGTGTTTCTCGAAAACAGTACAATTTGGGTTAAACTAGGATATAAGTTTAATGGAAACTCGTGGAATGCGCCTAACTGATGAGCCCGAAGAAGCGGGCTGTCGTGTAGTTTCCTTCATGAAAATATCAGATTTCGTTTTGGTACGCTATGAATCAGGCCAAATCGGCGAATCGCAGGTTCCAGTTCACCCCAAGACATTGCGCTGAACAAACGGAATTCTGTTGGAGCTGCGGTTGGATCTCAATCAAATACGCTTGCTTATGGCATTTGCAAGCTGACAAATGAATCAACGAATGAATAATCACTTTTCGTTCAAACTTCATTGTTATTTCTTTACTTCAGCGTATTGGCGTACGTTTTGTGTGTTAGGGTCAAGGCTTTTGTACCAGCGTCCTACGCGCCAACAAGTATAAGAAGGTGGCGCCATTTGTGCCCCGCTTGACCTCCAAATTGTTTCAAACAGGTGTCATCCTCTGTGTCTAGGACATAATTTGGTTCCCAGACAGGTGTGCACCAGAATGCTGGAGCTTTTGGTCACCCAGCGTCACGTTGCTGTCGTCTGGGAATACAAATTTTTGGGAATAACTTTATGCGGATGATTTCGAAACAGAAGGGAGAAGTTCTTCAAAGCTTTTGCGTAGTAAACCAATTAGGTTGTAAATGGATGCGAGAAACAAAAAATGTGGAACTATTCATGCGTCTCACCCTCACTTAGAAGTTGAAAATTATAATGCCTTGCTAATCACCTATTTTATTTTCGTTCACAATGAGCCTGAAGAACAAAAAATTATGTATATCCTCTAGCACTAAGTCATTCAATTGTTGTATCAGTTGAAGAATGTTTATGTGAGAAATGATCCTGAAAGTGATTCTACGGAATTGGACACGACAGTACATTGGCTTGAGTACGCGCGTATTGAGCCACCCCGTTTGCCTTGCCCGTACTACTCATGTCTCCGAAACATTTTCACTGAGTAATCGTCTGAGTATGTGGAAATGTGGATTTATAACTCAAAAAATTATAAATGATGACCGTTTTTCTTCTCAGCGCAAAATGTCCGCATCAACAACCTTTTCTTCATTAGCAGATTTGTTTTTCTAAAATCTTTCATACGCGTATAATGTACTAAATAATCGCCTTTCAAAGAGTGTCAGCCAAACCCATTCGGTGCAGTATGCTGACCTGTCCATTTGTTATCAAATGAGGTTTCTGTCTTGTTAATGACACTCGTACAAAACAAATAAATTATGCGATTGTGTAGCTTACCCCAAACTATTCAGATTCATCCATTATGTTTTATTACGCTGCAACATGCTTTGGTGCGCCTATTTGATTAGTTCCATTGCGACCCTGTTCACTATTTATCGCGCAGCAATTTAATTGCAATCCGTAATGTTAGAGGCTCCGTTTCCAAAATACATGTTTATTATAAATTGCCCTGTTTTGTTTGTGTACGGGGTGGAAAGGTTTTCCCTCTC